AGGAATCCCTATGTTTCCAGCTAAATTAATGGGGAAAAAAAAAACTAACCAAAAAAACCAAGAAGACAGTAAATGTTTCAAGTTAGGGCCAGCATGGATTAAAAAAATATTAATTTCTTTTGCTTCCCCAGACAACAGTGGATCAGCTTGAGACATATAAGCAGACTAAACACGCTGATCTATATTCTGCTGTAGTTACGCATCTTACTAATTCTACTCATGACTATAAAAGGATGTTTCATTGTTCAGTATAATTGTTATCTCAAGAAGAGTCTGTCTATAATTTTATTTATAGTTGGCATCATTTTCATTACTGTTGTTATGAAGTGTGTAAACTATTGTCTGTATTGCAGCTTGTGTAGGGCATGTGTCTGTGCTTGCTTTAGTCTTTTTGAGTTTATTATAAAGTTGCTATACAAATGCAAGAAAAGATGTTCAGGTATCTTTGGATGTGGTTGCTTAATCTAATTATATAGCCCCAAACATTCCAGAATATGGATGTTGAAGGTATTGGCTCTATTAATACATAACACCTTAAATATTAAATGTAGGCATTTTAAAAGCCTTCAATGCAATACTGGAATGCTGACACTTCTGTCCCAGTGGCTGTGCTGGAGCAAAGGGAAGATGGTGAATATCTGGGCAAAGCCAGATCCCGCTTTGGACTCCGCAGGGGGAAGGTACAATATAGCTGGGAAATCAAATAGAAAATGGGATGTCCTTTCCATAGAGAACAGGAAGGACCTTCACAGTAAGGACCACCACGAAGCAGAGGAGAGAAAGACTAAGGAAATATGTTTATAGCATCACCTAAAGATAAGCCTTCAACATTATACTAAGCATAGGACATCTAGAACAGGCTGCAACTGTTCTGTAATTTAGCTATTATTTGTAGTCTATGTAGAGTATCAGTGTAGACATTCCAGGTTAGTTTTCATTACCTTTAAAGCTTATTCTGTGATTTGATAAAGTATCCTTAATAAAATATTCTTACAAATCTGCTTATTATTCTCATTTAATTCCATCTTACACCCGAGTTAAAACAGTCTTGGCAACAGGGTGAAGTTCCAGTTGCCACCTGTTTCATCTGCTCCTGCGTTTTTCCTATCCACCTAAAAATGACAAGGTAAAACTGAGATGAGGAAAAATCAAATAATCATAGGAATGAGAAATTAAGAGAAATTTATAGCACTGCTACTGTTCAATTATTATAAAAATTCTCCACACTAAGCACTTAAGTGAATCTGAGAGATTAATCAAATTATATTCATCTCGAGTATGAAGTATTGGGTTTTGCCTGCCTTTACAGTACACCATTTCCCTTGTTTAAGACTTACCATCATTTTCCAGCTTTACAGTTACTGCCAATAATTACAGTATGTTGGTTAACCCCATTCACAGCAGTTCTAGACAGAATTTTCTGTTTTCATTTATTCACCCACTGGACCATGTAGAGGATCCTTTTAATATCTTCAAACCAGACCAAGCAGAGTTCAACTTCAAGTATACTAGAAGCTAAGATTAGAATTCAAAATAATCCCATCAAGGTGCAGACATGATCTGAAAACATAAGATGTTATTTAATAGGAACAAGTGCAAGCTGGAAAAACTAGCTGTGCAAGTAAAGGAACAGCTGTTTGATTTCTGTTGAAAAGAATCAATGTGTTATTTTGGATCGAATTCTGAAAAATGAGTCTGCAATGTGCTGTTGCAAATAAAAGGAAAAATTGCGATGTCTAAATTGGAATATAATCTGCTGCTTCAGAACTGCTAAGGTGTGAGCTAGTAACGTCTCCAGTTTTGATCACGGTGCTTGAAAAATAAGATACAAGTCGCACACAGAGAATCCAAGAGAAAGCAATGAGAATGTTTAGAAGCCTAGAAAGCTTTGCCTTTGAGCACAGATTGAATGATTTTAGGTCATCTGACAAAAGAGATAGTAGAGACAGAATGATTTTCAGATATCTATAAAAGCTGGTTGCAAAGAAAAATGGAGTAACATTTTCTCAAATCCACAACTAATAGGAATAGAAATAATTGCCATAAATTGCCAGAAGGGAGGTTTTGGTTAGAGACAAAATGAGACTAAGTGACCTATTGAGGTCCTTTTCTATGATTACTTGCAAACTATCTGCTTTAAAGTCCCTTACTTATTACTGTCAGTAGACCTGGCAGTGGCTGCAAGAAATGGAGACTGCAGTTGTAGGAAAGTAAAGAACTCTGCCTAAAATGCACAGCACACCAGTTTATCTAGTTAGTGCTAGTGATACTAACCTGAGCTTTTAATCACACCTCAGCAAACTGTCAGAATTTAATGTCAATAAATGTGCTTTAAAACCACTTAATTACAAAATAATTATTCCTTGAAACATCAAGCATGAGTTTAATCCGTGTTGACAACTTGTATGATTTTATAGAGTCTAATCAATCTGAGACAGCCTGTTTTTCGTTGTGAGATGGTGTAATCAGCTATTTTATTTATTAAAAAAAAAAAAAACGGCTCTGCAAATTACATGGAAAATTCTAAAAGTTTAATCTGAACATATGCTAAAGATTAAAAAGCCAGAAGGTGAATAAAGCCACGTGTGTTTTTTAAGCTCATAATTTTAAACTAGGTTTATAATTTTAGGAGATCTGACTCACGAGTTTTGAACTTCTGGTTTGGCAATACCAAATTACCGTGCCCTATATTCTGCTGTTCTGAATATTTCCATATTACTGATCATGTATTTGCATCATTTGCCGCAAACATGTTATACGGATTCGCAGAACTTTATTTTGTCATTCACAAAAACAAAGGAACACTTATTTAAAATTATCATGTATTATGGATGCCTTTCAAATTAACAAGGAGCATCTGTGTGCAAAAAGTGGAGGTATATAAAACCAAAATAACCAAAAAAAAAAGATGCATTGTTCCCCCCACATACACTATGATTTTTAACACAACAGCACCTTGTCAGAAGAATCCGCTGTCATTTCATACACTGGTAGCTCTTTTCTGAATTCCAATTACTAGACAAATATCCACTAATTTAAACAACATGAAGAATTTCAGTGCTGAAAAGGTATTATGACAAAGTATTATTTGTTCTTAGAACAGCTGTTGCTTAGACTTTTCTGAACTCTTTGCTGTGTTATAAAGCAATTAATTTTTCCTCACGAATACAGTCTGATTTATGCAATATTCTGGATAGTTTTACTAGAAAAATGGATACTAGGGAAATGGATACCAGAATTTAAGGTCCAAGATGTTCTGATTGTCAAACCTGAACAGACCATTGTGTTTCAACTTTAGCATTTTATGTCCGATTCAACTGTAACTTGTGTTGGCTCCTATTTTTATACTTCATTGCCTTATGAAATACGGGGGGGGGGGAGTAAGATAAAGGTGAGTTCTCAGTTCTGCTCCAGATACTGAGCTCTTGCTTCAGTGGAGAAATCTAAATATCATCTTCATTTCTGGCTGGGTGGTGTAATGGAAAATAGCCTACAGCATGTTACACAACACTGCCAACCAGGAGACATGGATGCATTATCGATCCTAAACACAAATAAATGGATCAGAAAGAGGCCTGCTACTTCCAGAGGCGCCGACTTGCTCTTCTGGGAGTTACTATGAAAATAATGGCTTACAGATTCAGGGTGGGGGAATAAAAGCGAATGTTTTGTTAAAGGGAAAATCAAACTTGCACTGAAGTCCTCACCATAAAGCTCACTCTTTAATTTCTGAACCAGTCTGTTCGGCTCACCTATAACAAGCCTGCATATGAAGCAACATGAAAGAAAATCATGTGGCTCTTCCCATACGAGAGGATGACTGCATAGATGAGCTGGTTCACAAATTGTGCTGCAAGTCTTGGAGAACTGCTGACAAAAAACAGGCTTGTAATAGCTCTGCTGAGAAGAGAGAATAAGTCTAATGAGGTTTTAGATGCCGCTCCCTCTAGTTAGACTGGACTTTCTCTAAGGACATCAGTCAGAGATGAGAGATGACGGCAAGAACATCACGTGAACTTCTGATTAGGAACAAAAGCTTTTTAAAAAGCATCTCAGACCTATACGTATTGTTGTACAAGAAGAAAACAGCATCTGTGTGAAAAGATATACTTCTGCAACTGGCTGAATTACCCATCTGGTAGCCTGAGTCTAGAGACCTTTTGATTTTTCCTGAGAATGGACGTGAGTATGTCATTTACACCATTAACATTAATGCTCATACATTCCTCCAGGATCTTTTCCCCAAATTTACTACAGCAAAACAACAATTCAAATGATGACATAAATAGGACTGAAGGAGTACTTGATGAGGGGAAGCAGTAATCCAGTCAACGCAAACACCTCTTTAACAGGTTATCAGCAACACTTGGGTATCAGCACAACCTTATCAGGGCCATACTGGTTACTGGGCCAAGGAAACCCCAAACAAGTTTTGTCTGGAGCTGTTGTACATATTTTGTGCCCAGGCTGACTAAACATACAGCTAAAAGCTTTGGGCCAAGTTAATGAAATGTCCCTTCTAAATCTGATAAAACCTGTTTAATTACAGCTACACTTAAATGAGATATCAAATTAATTTTGCTGCAAAGACTGCTTATTGTGCTAATCAATATTGTTGTGTTACTTCTTAGTCCATTTGTTCTATCTCTTGTTTCTGTACATATGTTTTTGAGGCAGGAATCTTCTTTTTACTCTGAAATAACAGAGCCTGAGTTTGTACTGCAGCTACCAAAACAGGGTTCTTGGGCATTACTAGTGCTCCTAAGAGATACAAGCCTCACAAGGATACAAATAATAAATAACAATCAGCTTTTCAACTGAAACGGAATTTATCAACCAACTCTCTTTGTATTGCTCTGGCATTTCTCCCCGCTCCATAGGATACAATCAACTGAATGAAGTAGCAGTGAATTACAGGAAGAGATAGTTACTTGATGAATCAGTCACTGGTCTAACTACAAGAGAAACTGACACCCCTCCCATCAAAGAAATATGCATACGGTATATATAGAGCAGCTCCTGTCGGAGGTAGGGAGAGCTGATGGCTTCCATTTTCCATTGCCTTCTTTTGGATTTCTCCAAGGTCAGAATCGATGTGAGAAAAATACCAGGATCTGTGGAAGAATAATAGTTATTTAAACATCTACAATATTTACTGTCAGAAACTGAAACTCTTCCATCTCAAAACTACATGCACGCACACTACACAAAAAATATGGAATCCTCATGTCTTGTAAAAAGGCTTTGAAAAATACACTAATTGAAACAAGGGTATTTTTTAACAGAGTATCTGTAGTAACTGCATGGACACAAATCATTCTGGGAAAACCTGTAACATTTTCTATAAGGGCTGCTATAGCATAATGCTGAAGACTGGGGACAAAAATTAATGAAATTTAAGCATACAGCGTATTTAATCCTCTCGTGTAACATGTGAAGTCTATGGGTAGCAGGCTTAGCCACCCTTTTAAAGGAGGTATCCAAAAGGAGCTTCTCACTAAGCCTCTGAGGAAAAAAAGATCTCAGCATGGTGTTTTGCTCTCCTTACTAGAACCGGAATATTTTGAAGTGTTTGTCTCAAAGTAAGGAGGAATAATTTGGAGGAAGCACAACAGATTTTCTCCTTTAATATGTTTTCATCAAAGCACTTTCCTAGCTCCGAGTTAATAGCTCCGTAGCTTTGGCTAAATGTAGGCGTGACGGCATTTCACGTTAGCACAACAGACAAAAAATTTGGAAGCGTTTCAAGAACGGCCGTGACCAGGCAGGCACACGCAGCAGCAGCACCAGGGCTCCCCAAACCCCTAATTATTTATTTCGGAGGGGAAAGCCAGCTGCCACCCCCCACCTTCCGAGGCCGGGGCAGGGTGATACCACAGGGGCACCAGTGACAACGGGCCCCTTGCGGGTGGCCAGGGCCCTCGCTGCCCGCCCCCCCCCCCGGGGATGTGGATAAGGAAGGCTGTCAGCCGGCCAAGTACAGCCAGAATAAGGCTAAAACCCGCCTCAGCCTGTACCGGCCGCGGGACTTTCCCTCCGCCATAGAATTCTCCTCAGGCTGGCGGCACCTCAGCCCCGGCCGAGGCGAGGTG